AAGATCCCATTCTGTGGCCCTAGGCACCCTATACGATTCTCTTACCTTCATATTTAGATCAATATCAAATCTAATCTGACGATGATCAGACATGGATGTTTCTGCTGAAACATTCCAGTTTTTGATAAAATGTTTTATAAATTGTGTTGCTAGGGTGATGTCTAATACCTCTTCCCTGATTCTGTTTATAAAAGTGGGCTTATTGCCCGTATTCAAAATATATAGGTTGTTACCAGTCATAAATTCAAATAGACACTCACCTCTTTTATTGATGTCGGTGCTGCCCCAGATCGTGTGGTGTGCATTAGCGTCACTTCCAACGATGAGTTGCCTCTTGCTTTTAACACTGTAGTCTACTAGTCCTTTCAGTGATAGGAAGTCCAGGTCTTGGGAGTCTCCAGGTAGGTAAGATGAGCAGACAATGAGCTCTGTCTTACTTACTGGGGTGTCCACAGAAATTATAGCTGCTACCTGGTCCTTGTTGGTGTGCTGTGGAATAATGAAAGCATTAATGTCATCTCTTACCACAATACAAGCACGAGGTCGACCATGGCTAGCATGATCGTACAGTAGCTTACCTTTTATTCCCTTTATCTGGTTCTCATATACATATGGCTCCTGGATAAAGGCTAGGTCAATCTTTTCAGATAGAAGTCGCTGTGTCAACACCGCCGTAGCAGCTTTGGCGTGTTGAAGATTAACCTGCAGGCACCTCATCATTTTATTGGTATCGTCCTTTACCGTTCCGCATCCACTTGGGCAATTTTGTCCCATGAGTGGGTGCTTCCTGTCGAGGGGATCTTGAAGCTGGTTTCTTTGGCCCTTGCTTCTGGTCCTTTATGCTAGATACCGGTGTGCCACCCTGCTGTTTTGAGGTGCTGGGTCCGACTTCAGTTCGGGTGCTGTCCCGTGTGACCTTAACCGTCTCACTTGGCTTATCTGCCTGTGCTTTTGAGGTACTGGGTCTATCACCTGAAAGCGGCCTTTTGGATGAAGGCACCTGTTGCTTGACGTCACTGGGTTTCTCTGTCGTAAATGGCCTTTTTGTCGTCAGTTTCTTGGGTCCAGTTGGCTCTCCCTTCACACGTACGTGAATTTGTGTGAAGTTCAGATACAGCTTCCCTGCCTGACCGACTATCCAATTTTTGGATTTTTCGTCCACTGAGATCGTAACGGTTTCCCCACCATTCTTATCTTTCTCAGTCCTGAGAATTCTCCACGATGATGTGCAAATGCCACCATTTTGTTTTTCCAATCGGGACATCAGAATTTCTGGTGGTAGCACAGCAGAGGGGAGAATAAATGTGATGCACACATAGGTTTTGGGCATCTCTTCGCCCTGAAACACTTTGAGAATAGCATCCGGGAATGGTTTGAGTTTTGGGACACAGGTGGTCAGCCAGTTCCTCGTTTCACCATTGCAGCATGTTAATGAGAGCCATCCGTCTCTGTTAACAATGGTGATGAAGCCGTAGACACTATTGTGCTTGGGAAGTTTGTCAATTTCTTCCAGGAGCTTCGATTTTATCAACTCCATTTGGTCACCAGTGAGATTCACCTCCGGATATTTCTCATGGGCGATAGCCACTTTGCAAGCATTGGCTACATCCCTGTAAGATGGAGTCGGTTTTAGCTGGTTTCCGGTAGAGCTAGATGTGTGTTGAGTGGCTTTTGGCTTTTTGGGCTGCGGGCGTTGTGTTTCTTCGGGAGATGTGTTATTAGATCTGCACCTTTTGCTGGTACTGGGTCTGTCACTTTCTCCTTCTGCTGCCAAGGAAGCTTTGTAGAGAGAGTATCGCTCTCTCTCTTTCTGCTTCGCAGTCTCCAAATCCAATCCATCCCTAATCATGGCCTTGATGCGTCTTTTCTGAGCCCCGGTGAAGTATTCCGCTTTCTTCCTGGTCTCTATGTTGCCGTCACCTGAGTTCATCATGCTCTGGGTATTAGCATTAGACGCAGCGCCATCGTGGTCACCTGTGTCCATAGGACTCTGGGTGTCAATCACCGGAGAGGTGTTCCCACCGCTTGATACCATTGGTCTCTGAGCAGATGGGTTCAGATCATCCAGATCCTGAATCTTGAGAGATGCTTCAAGCCTCTTTTCAAGATTTCCTCCAACCTTCGTTGGCGAACGGAGTAGAGCTTCTTCCTCTGACTCTGTAATTATATTATTAATTGGTATATTTAGTTTATTATCCATATACAGTGTTTAATATAAGGGAAAGAACAGTCACCCAAAGCAGAGCCCCATACTTTGAGAAGGCATTAATTAAAACAGGAGAGTGCCCGGTATCCTGAGTTCATTACTAAAAGACTGGATGCACCCCTCCAGTCAAGCATCCTCGGCGTAACAGTCTACCTCGGATTTGGGGGTTTTTATAGGTATCGTACAAATTTGAAAGCTACACATATCAAAACAAATATTACTATAAATACGTACCCGGGAAGTTTTCTCTTCCCAGCCCGACAATCAGCAGTCCACCCTTGGCAGAGACATGACCATATCAAGAGCTTTCCATCAGCCTGAGAGATTGTCGCACTTACCCTTACGAGTCTGGCTGATAAGCTGGAACTTAGTGGACGGTCTTTACCGCCACCTACTCCCTGAGACGCTAGAGTATTGTTTAGCCATTCAGACTTTGCCAGCTTGCAAAAACAAAGAGCCTATCTACAAACTAACTACTACAAGGACTACAAGGTTACAAACTACAAACTACAAACTACAAACAACAAATTAACTACAAATTTATAACTACTTACTATCACTACAAACATAGATTACAAAACAACACATTCTACCTTAACCTACTGGTAGATCTTGGTTGCACTTCTTGCTCTAATCTCAATCAACATTCCAGTCAGTGACATCAGTGATAACACTGACTGAAATATTGATCAGAATAGCTCAAGTTGTATCTAAGCCCCTACACCACGACAAGGTGCCTACCACGTAGAGGTGCTTGTTGTGTTAGTATATTGTAGTATATTGGAAATAGTTAAACTACAATAACAAAACACTTTAAAAACAGTAATAGAATTCTGTCAGATTTTATTTATTATTAAATCGAAAAACATATTTTATTAAGCTTGAAACACAAGCCTATTTCAATGTGATATAATTAAATTCTAAAACAATTATCTATATAAATAAAATTGGCAATTTAGTAACACGATTTATAGTTTTTGATTACATATTAAAATGATTCTTAAAGCCTTATGCTGCATAAGGAAAAGAGTATCACAGTAAATAAATAAGCAAAATAATTTTTCTGATATATATGCATTGGTTTATATTCACCATTTTCATTTCAAATTTATTTTTGGTATTTGTTTCTAATTCGTGTTACAGTTATAGTTTATTTATTTCGAATATAGTAAAAAATACACATCTGCTGAGTTCAATTACGTATTTTAAAATACAACTCTGTGTGGATTTGCTTTGTTTGCATTAAAATTCAGAAATTCAAATTTCAAGCAGTTATTGTCGCGTCGTTGTAAGTGCAAGAAGGCTGGTGTAAGAAAAAGAAAAGAAAGAAATAGGAGAATTTCTAAAAGTTAATTCAATTGAAAAATATACTTCAATTGTTCTTGTTATATTTGTTATAAAAAGTATTAATTGTTTAAAAAATATTATAATTTTAATATTTACAAAATAAAATGGATCCTTTCACTCAGGCAAGTAGCAGAAATAATTTTTGTTATAAAAAAAATTCATTTTATTAATGCGCAAAATAAATTTATTTAAAATTGAATATTTTTATTAAAAACAGCGCATGCTTGAGAAAGCGGAACAGCGCAGTCGTGCCCTTGGTATAAGTAATGCTAGTAAATATCCGCTAGCAGATGCATCCTCGGACGTTATTGCCTCTAACGCATTAATGCCAAATCAGCTTAAAACAAATCAAAAGGAACGAATACAAAAACAACCACAACAGCCGCAGCAAAAAACTAGCGTAATATCTGCTTCAAGCATTGGCGGAAAAATAATTGAACGAATTCCTGCAGATGCTTCTAAAATTCCTCCAAACACCGTAGTAAACTTTTCCAATGTGAATAAGGAAAATGTAGATTTGGGAATAGAAATTAATATTATGACAAATAACGATGTAGAGGCAAGTATTGTTTTCACGCTAGGAAATTCTATTTATATAGATATCGAACTTGAAAAGTTGATAAATAATGTATTTTACAATTACTTTAATATATAGGTACAAGTTGAAGTAGAAGAACGGGATATAACAGATAGTGAAGAAGATTGTGAAGATAACAGTAAGCTACCAAAAGAAGCAATAAATCAACCTTTAGCCAAAATACGTGATACTTCACGTAATCGTTTGCAGAGGTTAGGTGCACTCTACTCGAACACTGATGATTTATCGTCTCCAATACATCGGACTGAAGCACAGTTTCATGCTGGTTCCTCTGATGATGCATGTTTAAATGACAGCCCCTCAAAATCGAAACAACGGTATGGTAGACTTGCAGCTTTAGCTAACTCTATAAACCAATGGGAAGATGATACACAGCATCATCATATAAATACAATTCCACCACCAAAACCTGATTTACCTAGTAGAAAACTTGCAGACACAGCTAAAAATTGTCAAAAAATAACACAATCGCAGGCAACAGTACCAAACCAAACTACTGAAGAAGTAAAACAAAATGACTCCTGTGATCGTATTAGCAGCAGTAAAACTAAACAGCTTAATTGGGATCCCAAGGTTATAAATTCACTTGAAGCACAAGGTTTTCAGAGACGAGAATCCACAACAACTAAGCTAGCTTACGATTATACAAACAAGGAATGTAATGTGAACCGAGAGAGAGACCTCGATAAACAACAAAAAGAACAAACAAAGTTATGCACTAATCCAGTTAATAATAATATATCTAAAAACTTAAAAAATACAGTAAATGAAGAATTAGAGAAACCAAAATTGGCAAACGTCAAACCTGGTTTAGTCTCAGGACGTGCCGCTGTTTTTGAGCATAAGGCCGCTACAGCAAATCAACAATTGCAGCGTCCACAGAAAGATCCTACCGAATTATCGCTAAAGGAACGTTTGCAACTGTTTGAAAGAAATAAAGGAGAAGCTCTTGTACCAAAAGCTGCGTTCGGAATGGCACCTTCTATTAGCAAGATATTGCAAGACAAAAAAGAGGAAGCAAAATGTAAGCAATATTTAAATTTATAACAATTAATTCATATATTTATTCAATGTACACATTAATATTAATATGTATTCAATTTTCTTATAATTTTTATGATCAACATTTAGCAATTACATCACATGCACAGATAGCACCACCGGTTTGCATTAAATCAAATGTTGGTGATTGTAAAGTACGTGACAAAGTAGCCGCGTTGGTGGCAAACGCTAAAACAATCTCAGAGTCTAAAATTAAAGCTGACATTTACAAACAACGTCAGGAAGATATGCAGATATTGGCGAATCGAGCTAATCAGCAGAAGGAATTGTTTGAAAAAAATATGGAAATCGAAAGCAATACAAAAACTGTGTCTGCAGGAGTACAATCAGAGTTTATAAAAAATAAAACTGCTGCTTTAATAGCAGCTAGTAGTGTTGTACGTCCGTCGCCACCTCCACCACCACCACCAATGCCTAAATTTGTTTCCAATCAATTAACAGCCAAACGAAGATCACGTAAGTGACTTATTCGAAGTTTACGATCAATCTATTTATATTTACACTTATATTGTTCTTAATTTTTTAAACAATTTGTTTTTTTTTTATATAATTTTATTTTATGTATATATAATAGTGTAAATGCAATTTTACATTTACTGTTTTCTATTTTTATAGCCGGAAATACAATTGACGATGAAAGTAAGCGTGCTAAGAAATCAAATGTGCCGCTTTTATCTTCACATAATATTGAAGCAGTTCAACCTAAGAATCAGTTATATCCTGCATTATCCGATTTGGAATCAAACGATTCAGAATCATATATAGACAACTGCTGTACGACTGCAACCGTTTCTGCGGGTGACGCTGCTGAGGATGATAATGAAAATGAAAGGTGGGCGAATCGTTGCTATTCCTGCTTATTATTTTTACTTTGTATAGAATAATTAATATTACATAAGTACTAATATCAAATTATGATACTTAATGGTTTAATAATGTACTTCATTTAAAAATATAAACCTGTGTACCTAAAAATTTAAGACTTATATTTATAAGAAATTTATCCAAATGTAGTAGTAAGAGTTTCACATAAAATTTAAGTATTTCTAAAAAATGAATTTTTGTTAAAATGTTTATGAATTGATTTTTATATTTTTGAATAAATTTTTATATATAACAATTAACAAATTTTTTTACTTATTATTTAGTTACGTGGAATCTGAGGAGGCTGAAGATAGCAGCGTTGGGATATGCGATGGTAGTTTGGGTAGAGAAATAATGCAAGTTGTAAAGCACAACGAACACAACAGCCACGAAAAACACGAACAAATGCAGTCAAGGAGTACCAAGGTAAACACACATACTTTTCTTTAACACATATGTATACATATAAGTGATGTCTTATGCAAAGTAAGGGTTGATTATCACAAACAGAAAATGATGTTATAAAATTATTGTGTAGACTTTTGTGCCTGACCTTCAACATAAAAATGTTAAGTATTCCTGTTGTCAAAGCATATTTGATGTATACTGACTATATTTCAATAAAAAAAATATTTTTTTTTTATTTCATTATTTACTATTTTATTAGTTATTCAGTTAGAGGCATTAGAGGCTATAATAACTTATTAAATTTTAAACACTACAAAATTGTTATCATATGGGTCTTGCAACAATAATATGCGTTACGATGGATAAAATTTTGTATGATTTTGTATCATATTTCAGTATAAATTAAATTAATTTCAAGTTGTGAATCCGGTAAATTTATATTTAAATTCTATATATTACAGAATGTAATATAAGCATATTGGAGCTTATATTAGTGTTGACCTCAATACTTATGTGTTTAAATTTTGTCGGGCGTTCCTTTTAAAAAATCATATTTTTATAAAATATCTTATAGTATATAAAAACAAATATAAGATTAAATAAAAAATATCACAGTTGTTATGTATGTATTTTTATTTAACAGATACTTCGTTCTACTTCGTAGACCATCTTCAATGTTATTACAAATCAAAAACAAAAACAGCAAAAAATAAAATAAATTATTATATAAAAATATAATTTTTTTTTTTTAAAACACGACCTAAAGCTCGGCATAACATACAGTTTAATATTATAATAATGCTGTACATTGTTATAAGCCAAAATTTAAAAATAAATATTGTTTTATTAAATATTTATTAAAAAACACTTACATAAAGAATA